GTTGGCCTCAGATTCTCAGAGATCTGCCTGCCTTTGCACCCCTCCCCCCACAGTCCGGGGACTACAGGCATGTACCACCACAATGCTCTTGCTTTTCCATTCTTGCTAACAACCATTGTGGTGGGTAGAATGGGGTTCTCACTGTGGTTTTTATTGTAGTTCTATAAAATTAACTTTGTTGAAGATCTTTCACATGCTCATGCCTGTGTTTGTGTGTGGGCACATGTGTGTATGAGAGTGCAAAAGTTTGCTGAGGCCAGAAGTCGATGCTGGATGTCTTCCTCTATCATTCTTAATTAATTAATTAATGTATTTATTTATTTATTTTAAGGCTTGATCTCTCACTGAACCTGGAGCTCACCTTTCCACCTATACTGGCTGGCCAACAATCCCTGGGATCCCCTGTCTCTATCCTCTCCACTAGTGCTGGGGTTACAGACATGTGCACCAGTGCCTGATTTTTCCATGGGTGCTGGTCACTGAACCCATGTGTTCATGCTTGCATAGGAAACACCACATCCATGGAACCATCTCCCAGCCCTCTCTCACATGTTTTTCATTTGTGTGTATCTTTTGGGGAAAGTGCCTTCTCAAATAGCTGCACATTTTGAAATTGACTTTAACTTAATTTTTTTCTGAGACAAGGTCCCTGGGCTGATCTTCAAACTCTCTAGGTAGCTGAGAGAGACCTTGACCTTCTGATTGTCCAGGTTATGCTGTGCTGGAGATGAAACTCAGGGCTTTGTACTTGCTAAGCAAACACTCTAGCAGCTGAGCTATATCCTTAGACTGGCGCCACTGATTTTAGAATACTTTAATTTTTTTAATTTTTATTTTACGTGTATGAGTGTGTTGCCTGCATATAAGTGCACCCATGTCATGCCATACCCACAGAAGACAGAAGAGGACATTGGAACTCCTGGAACTGGAGTTAGGGATGGTTGTTAGCCACAAGGTAGATATTAGGAATTGAATCTATGTCCTCTGCAGGAGTAGCCATTGCTCTTAACTGCTGAGCTTCTATGATTTTACAACTTTTTACCACCCTAAAAGAACTCCCTTGCGATTTACCAATCAACTTATTTTTTCTGTGTACACACTGCTGTCCTATATAATCAGTAGTAGATTTTCTATTCCGGATATTTCAAATAAATGGTATAGTCTTTGAGGTCTAGTTTTTATCCATTTAACACAATGTTTTCAAGTTTCATTCATCTTGTAGCTTCCATCACACTTATTGTTTAAATCCCAGAATAATGTCTCATTGTACGAACTTATCACAGTTTTTACATTCTTTGGTTGATGAACATCAGGTTGTTATTAAGAGCGGTGCTTTATTATTAAGAGCGGTGCTCTTGTAAATATTTGTGTATAAGTTTTTAAGTGGACGTATGACTCATTTTTTCTTGAATATATGCTGTCATGTGGCAACTACATATTTAGCCTTTAAGGAACCACCAGACTATTTCCAAAGCAGCTGCTCCACTTTACATTCCCACCAGCAGTGTGTGAGAACACAAATTCACTCCATCCTCATCAACATTTGCAATTATCTGCTTTTAAAGAAAAAATTATGACAAGCCCAGCCTTGTAAATGTAGCTCTCATCCTTCATTAAAGAAGCTTCTTTTTGAAGCAGATGGAGGCTACTATAGAGATTCCCAACTGGTCTAAATGCAGAGAATTAGTGACAGTGGGGTGCCTGACTCCAATTGGTATATAAGCAATGCAATCCCTGCACCTAAGGCTGGAGAACACCACAGAAGGGGTGGGGGAGAAAGACTGTAAGTGCCAGGGGACCAGGATGCCTGCTAGGCATGTCAGGGAAGTTGGAGCCACGGAATCTCAACACTATGGTTTCCTGAACAAGATCCATAATGACAACATGAGTCTGCATGCCTACGTGAATGAAGGAAACTTCATAAGGCCCCACCTCCTAGATGAAGAGCTACAGGCAATCAATGGCTGCTGAGAGAGGGGGAGTCAGTTTTCTCTAAGAACAAGTCCTCTGGTAGTTTATCCAATCTAAGTGGTCAGCCCTAAACGTGTATTTAAGAGAAACACTAAATAAACTCAGTAGGAGATGTACATATGCTAAGAATATAATACTATAATTAAGGAAGAGATCATGAATTTGAGAGGAAGTTGGTGGGAGGAGTGAAGATGATATAAATACGGTACTTATGTATGAAATTCTCAAAATGTAATCAATTTAAATAAAAAATTATAGTTGTCCTAGTGAGGATGAAGTGAGGACGCATTGTCATTACGAAGTGCATTTTCTTAGGACCTTTTCAAATTTTGTTGCTTTTTCTTTTTTATAGATTATGCTTTTTGTATTGTATTTAGGCAATCTGACAAAACCCCAATTCCCTAAGCTCTCTTTTCTCTCTCTGTGCTGGAAGTTCTATAGCTTTGGCTCTCAGGTTTGTGTATTATGGTCCATTTTCTATACCTAGGCCCACTTATACAAACATGGCTATCCAGGTGTTCCAGCACCATTTGTTGAAAAGATTGCTCTTTCCTCCTTGAATTGTCTGGGCATCCTGGGACAATCATTCCAATTCTATTCCAGTACACGTGCTTTTAAACAGTCTTAACCTAAGCCTAATTTTATTCCCGTGTGGAGGCTGCTAGTTCTTTGCAAATTGCAAGGCCCTTTCTGCATTGGGGTGGCTATAAGTGTGGCTAATCCTACGAGGGTTTTTCTTTCTCAGAGAGATGCCTCTTTCCCTGGTATAGTGTTATTTCCTCACTTGCAAGATCTGATTAATACTGAGCCCAAGACTCCCAAGACTCAAGGGGAGCTCTTCCAATTCAGCTCTCTCTCTCCAGCTCTCTTAGCCCTCCTGAAGTCTCACATCTTCTCTTACACTCAGAGAAAGGGCTGGGTGTGCCAGGATTTCCCCCTTTGTTTTTCTCTCCTGTTCTGTTTGCTAACCAGCAGGAAACTATCATTTCATGCTGTTGTTTTCCCGGGATGTGTAAGTTGTCTGGCCAGCTACTCCATCTCCATCTGGAAACAGTTGCTAATAGTGTAATTGTTTCAGTCTTTGCCAATCCAGCTTATAATGTAAAGTGTCTAACCTGGGCTAGGGATGTAGCTCTACAGTACAGCACTTGCCTAGCATGTGCAAAGCCCTGGTTTCTATAGCCAGCATCACAGAAAAGTAAAACAATCAAATAAAAAAGCACCCAAACAAAACAAAACAAAAGGCAAATTAAAGTGCCTACCCAAAACAACCCCCCAACTCACCACCACCAGCACCAGTAGCTTCCTAGTTTTTAAAAAAAACTTAATCTTACAGTAGACATATGGGTTATTCGCCAGTTATTGTGGATTATAACAGCCTGAAGCAAGAAGTGGGGAAATCCTCCCTTATCTGGATGGAGAAACTTCTTGTAATCTGTGTTTTATTTGCTCATTCATTCATAGGCAAGGATCTGGATTTAATTTCCCTGTGTTGCATCTTGGATTGTATCACTTTTTACCTCTGTGACTTATCTTTCTAAGCCTCAGCTTCTTTACATGTAAAATAGGCATACAGAGCTCTAGGTGGCGACCTAGTGAGACCCCTACTGAATGGACTGAGCATGGAATCCTGGGAATCTGGCTCGTGACACTGGACTCTTCACTAGCATTTGCTGGGCTGCTTCTTTCCTCTTTCTAGGTGCTAAGCGCAGCATTCCCGTTTGTAGCTGTCTCCTCCGCCTTTGTATTTGCTGAGTCGCTACATACTTCCTAAGTTGATTGCATGGGAAAATTCATCTTAAAGTCTTTGTCTAAATTGATTTTTCACACATTATCCGTAGCTTGAAAACTGACTTTGAATTCTAGTCTACATAACTGGTTTTCTCTGAATGTCCACGTGTCCTGTTGGCCTTAGATCCATTCCCTGTTCTTCCCGGCTCTGCCCTGTTCTGCAGTGGGTTGAGGGCCCACCCTGCGCGGGCTGTATTTCTTAGGCTTCTGTGCCAGCCAGTTTCAGGCTGCATTCCTTCTACAGGAGGGTATGGAGATGGCGGGGCAGAGGGAAGGAGGGGCGTACTTTCTAGCCCTCTTTGCTCTTAAGCATCTCTGGCAGAGACTGCAGCTCAGCCTTTGGTCTCTGGTGACACTTTCTTCTCCCAATAATGTCTCAGCCCTTTCTGCTGTTGTTAGTAACTTTTGGGGTATCTGCTCCAAGTCAGCTTAGCTTCTCCCATGCCTTTATCTTTGCAACCATTTCCTGAGCTTGGCATACCCTCAGTGCTTTTCTTTTCTGCAGTGACCTTAGCTCAGCAAATTCTTTAACAAGTCTGTCCTATAACAAACTTGCTTCTCCTCTCAGCTCCTCTTCCTAATTTGTCTCCACTTCAGCTCTTGGCACCCCTGTTTTGCTAAATGTGGCAGTGCCATCCTTGACCCTGTTTCCTGTTATTCTAATTCACGGACAACTCCTCTTGTCTCTTCAGGAGCATACCCAGAGTTGACTGCTCCCCCCTCCACTGCTGTCACTACTGTTGTCCAGGCCATTAACTCCCGCTTGTACTGTTTGCAGTAGCCTGGTAGTGTCACAGCCTCCACAGCTGACATGCATCAAATATGAAGTCAAGATTTCTTTATGTAAAAATGTACAAGCACATCCATCTATACAGATTTGTTTTTGCTTTTAATAAGTGGTGAACTACATGGATAGCAATCATAGAATAGTTTTAAAATAAATTTATGATCAGAAAATGGCTGATTTGTGTACCTATTTTGTATACCTTCTACCCGAAATTGCATGACAATTTTTCGAGTGAAAAAGTGTCATGAGTGGAAAAAGTTAAGAACTCCTGAAGGTGCTGGTCTCAGGGGTGCAGTCCTGCAGCAGTTGGCAGCTCTGAGACTGGAGGTGCGGTGTATAGCCAGAGCCAGGCTGGGCTTCTGGGGAGGTCTCAGAGCGCATGCTCCCTGGGTCAGGTTCCTAGTGGCTCCAGAGTCTGGGCTGGTGGAGGCGGAGTCTTCTAGGCACTTCCCCTGGCCAGGCTGCTCTGGTTGGCTGCGCAGAAGGCCTGGGCAGGGTGGTGGCCCGGCCCTCCCACCAGGCCACCCTGGGGGCTCCAGGTCCAGCTGCACCCGGCTGGAGAGTGGGCACTGTGGCTGGGACTGCAGCCGGACAGGGGCTCGCGGTGAGTGCTGCCGGCGGCCGCGGGCCTGGGAGCTGGTGCCCGCCGGGTTCCCAGGGCTGGGAGGGGAGCCCCGCACCAACCCACCCTGCTTGGCTTGACCCTGCCCGGATACCTGGGGTGCTTTGGGGTGGCGATGCCCGGGGAATCTTTATGAACTGCCCTGCCCTGGGGGGCCCTCCCGCTCCCAGGCCAGGTGTGATCGTCAGTCAGGGAAGCTGCCCATAGCTCCTGGGCTGGGGACAGCCAGGATGCCGGGTTCTTAGCACTTCCTTCATCCTTTCCTCCCGTTAGCTCCAGCCGGCAGTGCTAGTCAAGCACTTGGTCAATAGCAGACCTGGGCAGGGGTCATTGCCAACATTCCAGAGGTACTGTTACATAACCAGCCGGCCCTTTACCTCCAGTACTTGACTTTTGTGACACCAGTATCCTGAAAATCGACTTAGTACTGCCAGGGTCGGGTTAACTGACCGTGTCCAGCGTCGGAAGCACTACTGAGTCTCTCTCTTTTTTTTCTTCTGTCACTGAACTGTCAGGCTGCCCCATTCCATTTCTCCTATATACAAGCTGTGCTGTACATTTAGTATGTGCAGGACTTGACTAGGTCCTGGAGGTACAAAGTTGAATCAGACTTCGGCTATGCCCTCCCTCCTCCTAGAACGAAATGAAGGCGTACAGTCAGTGAGAACTGGGTTGTTACAGAGTCAGAAGTACTGTGGTAAAGAGCCCAGAATATCTCACTAAACCCAGCTCTAGCTCCGAGCTGGAATATCGCACAGTCCCCATCGTGAGAATTGTCTGTGAGGTGTAAGGAGAAACAGTGCTGTGTTGGAAGGGAAAGTTAGTTATCTGGGTGATATTCCACCCGAGTAGCCTCCTCTGGTGCCCTTTGGACAGCTGGTTCATTTCTATAGATCGCGACTGCCACCACTTGCTTATTTTAAACGGTAAGAATCTTTAAACGGTAAGAACCCCTAGCCGCCTTAAATCTATTTTTTTATTCTCTAGTACTAAGAGGAGGTTGGACTTAAGATAAAAGGTGGCCCAAAGCTGTGCTGCAGCCCTTATGAAGAAAGCCAGGCTGATAATTAAAAGCTGAAGGCTTGCTTAGCCAGTGCAAACTCAAGATAATATCCTCTCCTGTCTAGAATTCTGAGATTCACTATTGCTCAGAAAAATAACTCCAGGAGGAATAACATCGGCAGAAGGCAGTCGGGTCACTTGTGCAATCTCCTGAAAGTCAGTTTCTTAAGACATGTATACTACTTGGTTTAAGGGAGTCATTTATTTATTTATATTTATTAATTTATTTTCAACAACAATGCTGAGGTATTACTGGCATAGACTAGCAGGACACATTGTAGAAACTTTTAAGTTTTGCCATATTGTAAACACCTGTGTCAGTACATTTGGTACTGTGAACATACACATCTCCCACAAGTGTTCCTGTGCATGATCTTCGAAAAAGCTTTCCTCCTGTTCTTTCTTTTGCCCAGGGATTGATCTGCTGTCCATCAATATAGACTAAGTTGCATTTTTCCAAGTTTTATATAAGTAAGATCAATTTTCTCTCTCCTCCCCCCCCACTTTGGTGCATAATTATTTTGAGATTTGTCCATGTTTTGTGTGCATTTATTTTCATTGCTGAATTAGGTATTCTTATTATAACATAATTTACCCATTCGTCCATTCAGATTGGCATTTTTCTACTTTTTAGCTATTATACATAATGCTGCTATAATTTATGCAGTCTTTGGGAATATAGACATCCATCTTTTAAAGTGATTGTATGTATCTTTTAAGGCCTGGGTTGTAGTCCCAACTTCTAACCTTAGTCTGGGTTCGTAGAGAGTTGCATCGCCTCACCTCCCCCAGGTCTTTGGTACACTGATGTTGAGCCACCACTGCCAGAAACTAGGATGACCTTGCTGATAGTTGGGCAGCTTCTCTATTTCTCTTTTTTTCCTTTCCTTTTGGTTCACTTGAGTGACAATTTTGAAACTTTTTTAAAAAAATATTTCATTTATGATTTTTATTTTATATGTATGAGTGTATTGCCTGCATGTATGTGAGTGCACCTGTGTTGTGCAATGCCGTGGAGGTCAGAAGAGAGCTTTGGATTCCCCTGGAACTGGAGTTAAGGACGGTTCGTAGCTACCATGTGGGTGCTGGGAATCGAACCCAGGTCCTCTGCAAGAGCAGTCAGTGCTCTTAACCACTGAACCATCTCTCCAGCCCCAGACAATTTTGAATCTTGACATATAATTTGGGCAAGAACATAAGTAAGTAGATAATGACAGGCAAGAATGAATCTTGGCTGAACTTAAACATTTAAATCCCAAGCAGAGTAAGAAATGGTGGGGAATTACTAAATAGGATTTGAAATTTTATGGTTCTTAATTTTTCTTATCCTGTCCTCTCCTCTATGTTCCTCTGGTATATTTAACCTTGTGGTGAGATGGTAAGTGAGTGTGTCAAGCTGCAAGTGTTAACTGGAGGTGGTTCTGGAGTTGCTTATCAGAAAACAATTCCATGTTTTCGCCTTCAAGAGATGGCTGGAGTTGTATCATATCTGTTTTCCATCTAACCTTTATTTTACCTAAATTTAGTTCAAGATTTTTAAAAGGAGCCTTAATCTGTCATGCAATTTTTTTTTGTAATAAAATTCAGTTGACTTTGTTAAACAGAAGGAAGATGAGGCTCTTGGGTGTGATGGTCTATTTGGTCCTTGGAGTCCAGCTTTCTGAGAAGTCCGGAGGGAAGGTGTCAGCTGTGGATCCTGAAACAAACATGAATGTGGTGAGTTTCTAAAAGTCACACACTTAAAAAAATTATTATGTTAATTTTATGTATATGAGTGTATTGCCTGCATGTAAGTGCACTTGTGTCATGCAATGCCCACAGAGGTCAGAAGAAGGCATCAAATCCCCTGGGACTGGAGTTATGGATGGTTGTTAGCTGCCATGTGGGTACTGGGAACCAAACCTTGGTCCTCTGCAAGAGCAGCCAGTACTCTTAAGTGCTGAGCCATCTCTCTAGCCCCAAGTCACACACTTTTAATTCAACTACAACAAATGTTATTTTCTTAAGTATGATTATATGGACTGGGACTGCATGGATTCATAACTCAATTCTCTTTATAGCTGATTATAATTTTTACTTTCTCTGAATCTTAGATGCTATTTGTTAAACTTTTCCACCTAGATAGTGTATTTATAACATGCTTCATTAGGCTGTTGATCAAGATACAATTCTTAAGATAACTGATGATATTTATTAATTAATTTCAATTTTAACTCTTAGGCAATGCACTTTAGCAATGATAAAAGCATTTTAACCTTTGCACGAATGCTTCTACTGAGTGCTGAGCACAGGCTATGATTAAGAATGCTCAGGGAACATAATTCAATGTAACTGTGAAGGTATAAAACTATTTTCTTAGAAGACATAAGCAAAATAATAACCTTTGAATGAGTTAAAGCATTTCAAAATTATTAATCCTAAGTAAAAAGTGAAATCTGGGAATACCTCATTTCAGTACAAAATAGTGGGAAATTGAGATTATTAAAGGCCTAGCAAGTTTAAAATCGAAGATGCAGTGTCCCAGCTGAGGAATCATAGAGACTGAGAAGAGTTCACAGAGAATCAAGATGGGGTGGCGCCACAACAGCCTAAGGTTAAGTTTTCCTTGTTGCTTCCCCTTCTTTTAACAAGTTCTCTCCCAAGAGAATAATAAGATCCAATCTTTTCAAGCATTTATGGCAGAGAGGATAATAAATACCTCAGGACTTCTGAGTAACTGATTTACCCATAACCCACTGGGTTCCCAAGTAACACTTGCTCCATGGATCTTGCCTTATGGAGAAATGAGTTTGATCACAGTTTCCCATTTTTCAGCTTTTCTTCAACTGCACCTTCATATTCTAGCACATTTTTTTTCCTTTAGTCTGTGGATGAAAATAAAATTTTTGATGCATTATTTTCTACTGTTGGGAGCATTAAAACAAGGAAAGTGTTAGCTGAAATGTTTAGAAAAGAAACTACTAAGTGTTTTTTTGTGCTTGGTGGGTGTTAAGAATGAAGCAGGACGAAAGCAACGAGGCTGAAGTAGACACATTGTTACAGAACATGCCAACATGGAGAGACACCTGTGAGAGCCGAAGGTTTGCTCTTTGGTGGATGTTGGGGCCTCAGCAGATTCAAATGCAAGGCACTTCTTAAATAAAGGCTGGAAAATATCATGACATTTTTTTAATGTATATTTTTATTGAATGTTTGTGTATTTCACATAATACATCTTAATCATACTTTTACCCCCTCATCCTTACCTCCTCCCCATACTCCCTCCCACCAGATTTCATGCGTTCTGTCTTACATGTTAAGGCCTATCAAATCATGTTTTTGTCCCCAGATGTCCCTTGTTTGTTTTCTCCTTTGCCTGTTAGTATGGAAGAGCGATGAGTCAGACTGCCATAGAATGTTCACTGTCCTTTCTCTTCCCTAGACTCAAATTATCACTTACTGGGGATTCCCTAGTGAGGAGCACACAGTTGAGACGCAGGATGGATATATTTTGTCCCTTCACCGAATCCCTCACGGGAGGAAGAATCATATGGACAAAGGTATGAGTATTTTCTGTGGCAAGATAGAATAGCTCTTAAAAGTAATTGTGTTACCTGAACTGGTAACAAAATTTCAATGTGAAAATGTTGAAACAGGGTTAGTTATAGGCTGAAGTATTAAATAATCAAGTCATAGGTTAAGGCTTTCAAAGAAATAAGGACTCATCAGATTTCTTTAAAAACTTTTTTTATTATTTTTATTTTATACGTGTGAGTGTTTTTGCCTGCATGTATGTAAGTGAATCCTTTGCTGTGCAATGCCTGCAGAAGTCAAAGAGGGTGTCAGATCCCCTGGAACTGGAATTAGAGACGGTTGTTAGCTGCCATGTGGGTGCTGGGAACCAAATCCGGATCCTCTGCAAGAGCAGCCAGTGGTCTTAACCACTGAGACATCTCTCTAGCCCTGACTCATCTAATTTCATTGTTTGTGCAAGGGTCTAAGGCTAAATTCCTTTTAGGATAAGCTAAAAATGTCTCCTTTTGTTTTATAAGGAAGCATTTTTATCTAATAAAATGTTGTGAGCACTAAATGGATGGCTTTTGCAGTTTAAAAATTACTTAATTGTTGCTGAATGTGTCAATGCTGTTGTAATGAAATGCCTCTTCTAATCATATGGTTATGAAATAAATAATTTAAAAAATTACTTAATTTCGTGAGAAGGCAGCATATTAAAATAGTTCAAAAAAGAGAATAAAAAGATATGCAGTACATCTCTCTTCATATTTTTAAAACAGTGTCCTGTATAATCTCTTCATTTTTAATATTTTTAACCTCCAGAAGTCTCGTTAACAGCTAATAGAACTAAATATTCCTGGTTTTCTGTGGCCAACTTTTAAATTCAAAAAGTACCATAAGGGCTAGAGAGATGGCTCAGTGGTTAAGAGCACTGACTGCTCTTGCAGAGGATCCGGATTTGATCCCCAGCACCCACATGGTGGCTATGAACTGTCCTTAACTCTAGTTCCAAGGGAATCCGACACCCTCTTTTGACCTCCACGGCATTGCACGACATGGATGCACACACATACATGTAGGCAATATACTCATATACATAAAATAAAATAAATAAAAATATTTTAAAAAGGTACCATAAAAGGCATAGTGTTTTGTTCATTGAACTATTTGTTTGATATTAGTAAAATCTTAGAGATCCTCGCAGATAATACGTATTCTAAATATTTGCAGTATTCCATTATATAACTGTGTCATGATTTATTTATCAAATATTCTGTTAATGAGCATTTGTGCTAATTTAAGTTTTCTGTTAACAAATATTGATGCTCAAAAACTCTATGTGTATACAAATTCATTTATAAGATTCTAAGAAAAATTTTGAGGTCAGAAGGTCTACGAATTGTGTTTCTGACAGATTTTGCTAAACTGATTTGCTTGTGTGCTTGTAGTGATAACTACTTTCATTAGAAATATATTTATAAAGGTTCTTATAGATTTGCCTTAAAATATGTAAGCATGCATATATACACACATACATCTTTTTCTGGTAATTTGATAAGTTAACAAAACTGTAGTTCCTGATGCAGATGAAGGTATAGTGACAGACTACCTGAGACTGTTGAACAAGTTATCAGAATAATAGACTTTTATTTCCACATGTCTGCAGATTTAGCCTGTTGTTTAACATTTTCTGTTTCTAGAAACCTCTTCCAGAAAAGTAAGGTCTGGATTAAGGTAATTGAACAGCTGTCGCTTCTGTTAAGATCAGAAGAGCTTTCGTTACCTCATGTGCTTCTTAAGTCATTGTCCAGATGAAACAAAGCTGGGTAGTATGAGCTTTGTCTTAATATCTACTTTATGATTTTGTTAGTCAAATCTGATATGCCTGTTTTCTTTCTCCAAAAATTATGCCTATCATAAAGCACTAAGGAGTGCGTAAATGGTTATGGGAATGCTCGTTTTGAAACTTAATTAAGAAATTAAGCTTTGAATTTTCCCCCCTCATGTGGCTCTTTTTACAAAATGAATGATGAATTGCAGTTTGATTGTTTGTTTTTCCCTGCTCTCAAACACATAAAGCATATGCTTACACCAGAGTTGAGCATGTAATCTTAGTTTCATTCCCTTTTAAAAAACAAAAACAAGTCCTGTATTTTTAGACTCAGAATAAAGACAACAAGGTATGGATATTATTTCTTACAAAGTACTTAGTTGATTAGTAGTTAGTAATGTGAGCCATTGTTAAGAGGTTCTGGGACCTTAATAAAATCCTGCTGAGATAATGTACCACCTCTTCCTTTTCTAGATGCATCTCTAGGCTTCTTTTCCACACTGCAGTTAAATTAGCACACAGGACTCCTGCCCCGTGCAAAAGTATCACACTGTGGCAGGTGAAGGTACCGGCCAGAGACATGGAGACAGTAAGCTTGAGTCTTGAATGCTTCCCGCACAAGGGAGAGGCATTAGATGAGCTTATTGGGGGACGGGGTAGTGGATACTCTTGTCTTCAGAATGCAGAACATTGACTGAAAGTATTGTGAGCCAAATCTGGTCATAGCATTAGGTTCCCATCTTTTTTCACTGTTCTGAAGAGGCTCGACCCTCCTCTGGGGAGGTCTGTGATCTGTATCTAGTTCTTGTTTATGAACCCTCTCAGGGGTCTTCTCTAGAAGGTCTGCACTGTGACTCGGTCCCTAAAGGAATTCCTAAGTACTGCATGGGTGCTTTCCTACTCACTGGCTTGCTTTCTATGGCCCAAGGCAAACCACAGGACACAGGCTCCTTATTATCCTTCATGTCTATTCTGGAGCTGTGTGGTCAGTGCTACTATCTGCCTCACTGAAAGCCAAGGAGCCAAAAAGAATACCCAGACCTTTGTTCCTCAAATGGAACTCTCTTCCTATGAATGCCACTTCCCCTTCTGACTTCCTATTAATAGCACCATCACCCTTCCAGTGACCTAGCCTGGAAAGTGCAAAGTCGTTTTTCTTTCTTTCTCTCTTTTTTGTCACCATTAGGGGTTGACTGCACGCATGCTGGGCAAGCACTCTGCTAAGGAGCTGCATCCTCAGCTTTTGTAGAATTGTTCTTGACACCCATTCTATCCATATCGTATCCCTTCGCGAATCCCTTTCTCACCTGTCCTGACCACGTCTTACCTTAGGATCTTGCAACCATTCAGCTGAGCACCTGAAACAGCTCCGAAGCTGAGAAACTTGAGTGACTTCTTTTCAGGGGTTCCCTGTGTATTAGAGAAAATGAATTTCAAGATAGGAATATGGAAATATAGGCTTACAGTTTATGAAATTAATGCTTTCAACACAAAACAATGCCATATACTTACTCTTTATATGTAATTACCAGATGTTCAAACATTTATTGGGCTGGCATTCTTAGGGAACACTAATTTACAGAGGAGTGGTGAGCATCTTTTAGTCCTGTTACAGCAGCTTTTCCACAGTGTGTGTAGTCTCCCTTGGACACCATGTGAGGTTCTGCATGAACACAGGGCTGAGTCACGTGTCCTCTGTTCATGTCCTCCTGTAAGCTCTGCCACCTGCTGTCTTTCCTATCAGCCTCTTTGTCTTCCTCTGTCCTATGGGGTTGTGAAGAAGTTGCTTAAAGCTCAGCTATAATTATGTCGTTTTGTGAGGCAACACTCTTCAGGGGTCTAGTGGGTCAAGATACATATATTCCTTAGTATTCTGTCCTAGTTGCTTGTCTGTGCCTTTCACTCCCATCCTGAACCATATAGATTTGTACTATGTGGTTACTGGGAGCATATGCTTGATGTTTCCCAAGTAAAGAACTATTTATTTTGCATGTGTATGGGGGTGGTGGTGTGTGCTGTGTGGGTGTGTACATCCATCTGCCTGTATGCAGGCCAGAGGAGAACATTCAGTACCCCATTTGATCACTCTCCCAACCTATACCTTTGAGGCAAGGTCTCTCACTAAACCTGGAGCTAGCCTGGTAGTCAGCATGCTACAGCAATGTTCCTTCATCTCCCACAGTACTGGCTTTGTTTTTATGTAGATGATGAGGATTTGAACTCAGGACTTAATACTTTTGTACTAAGTGTTCTTACCTGCTGAGCCATCTTCCCACCTTTAAGTAACCATTCACCCAGGTTGAGCTACCTTTGTTATTCGCTAACTCCTTAAGGGAACTGAAATTCACAAGTTAGTCATTTATAGAGAAGGTCTTTATTTTCATCTGCACAGCCTTACTTCAGAAAGTCATGGGGTGTTAGTGTTACATTCTCTCATTTCCTGCCTGGACCGAGGATTTGAAGAACTGATACTTTTT